GTACCGGATGCCTGCCGGCCTTCCGGGCAGCTACGACAACGAGAACGACCAAGACGTCCAGGCCATCATCGAGTATGGCATCGAAGGCGCGCTGTGCGTCCGAGGCGTCCTCGCGCAAGACGCTTCCGACCGGCACGCGTTCACCCTGTATGCGGTCCCGTCACTGAGCGAGTCGCCGAGCGTGGCCGAGAAGGTGCAGATGTTGCGCTCCTTTTGCTGCCTGCGCCACGGTCAGTGCACGTTGCGCGTCGCGCTCGACAAGTGCGCGTACGGCCTCGGCCAAGTGCCCATTGTACGTGCACATACTGTAAATGGCACCCAACCCTCGCGATAGGTCCAATGCGACGTCAAGAACTCGTCGACCAAAGACATGCGCGCCATGCGGTTCGAGCTGGTCCGCGTCGTCGAGGTGTTTGCACGCGGCCGCATTCGGTCGCTGCAAACTGTACTCTGCGACCAACTCTTCTCGGGCGTCCCGGCGGGCCGCGTGCTCTCCCAGCCGCAGCCCTTTTGCCTGAACGGTCGCGGTCTCTACCCTAGTACAAGCGGCAACTTTGTGTCGTGCAGCTACTACATTGAAGTGGACTTTGACATTCCGACGTGCCCGATTGTCGAGCTTCGCTTGCCACTGACGATTGGTGCGCCGGTTCCCGCCGACGCATTCTCGTCGCTACCGCCTGTATAAGTGCCGTCGAATGGTCTTGTATTTATGCAGTCTGGGCGCTCTTGTCCTGACGCGTCACTGAGTAGGAAACGACGGCGCACAGCACGCTGGCTTGGCTAAACATCGTTGGGCACTTGAGCAAAACGCGTGTGCGCTGCCACGTCACCGCGTCCAAAAGACGTCAAATGGGTTCAATCGCTGTTTCATACAAAAAACTGTGCGGATTGTACATATGTGAGAAACGTTAGTGTGCGTGGTTTATGTGGCAATTGCGCTTCCTCTCTACAGGCATTCATACAGTAGAGAGGCCTACGTGTGGGATTTGCAAGTGTGTTTTGTGTGGGAATCAGGGCCATCATTTCCGGTTATCCGGATGACACCGCATTTTCGAAAAGATGGCAGCCTTCGTAGGCGAGCTCCTCGGCCTGCGCGGGAAGGGATCGATTGCGATCATTGTCGACAAGCCCCATTACATCTCGGGCGAAGTCGTCTCTGGCTCGCTCCAAGTCGACGTGCTCGAGCCCATTGAATGCAACGGTGTGTCTGAAGGATGATCGGCGACGCCCTCATGCGCACATGTAGAGGTCGTTGTCGTCATTTCGGGCAAGGAGAAGGTCCACTGGTCCGAGACGCACGACGTCGGGTCGGGCGACGACCGCCGGTCCGTCACGCGCACGTTCTCGAGCAGCCACCGCTTCTTGAACCAGGCAGTACGTCTCGCTACATACGAGTTCGAGTACTCGTTACGGATGGACGACACAACCATGATCTAGATCGTGCTCTACAGTGCGCAACACCACATTTCGCCTGGCCAGTACATCTACCCGTTCCAGTACCAACTGCCTATCGGACTGCCCGGCACATTCGACAACCAATGCCACGACGGCGTCGACGCGCGCGTCCAATACAGCATTAAAGGTCGGCTTCGCGTCGATGGCTTCTTTAGCCGGGACGTAAAACGACGCCAAACGTTTATCGTGTACGCGCAGCTCGCGGGCTACGTCGCGCCAAGCGTCGCCGAGAAGACGCAGGTCGTCCGATTCCTCTGTTGCTTCCGCCAAGGCACGTGCTACCTTCGCGTCGGCATGGACAAGAACATGTATACGCCGGGCGACGTGCCCATGGTAGGTGCATGCTCATGCAGGATGCATCGAGTTCTAAGGCGGCGTGCGCAGATTCTGTGCGACATCCGCAACGAGTCGGCCAAGGACGTGCGCCGAATGCGCTGCGAGCTGGTCCGCATCGTTGACGTCATGGCCGACAGAAAGCACCGCACGCTGCAAAAGACCATCTGCGGCGCGACGTTTCCGGGCGTCGCCGCTGGCGCGCAGCTCTCGCAGCCGCAGCCGTTCCAGCTGCTGAGCCACGGCGAAGCGCTGTACCCGAGCACGCGCGGGAACCTCGTCGGCTGCCGCTACGAGATTCGCGTCACTTGTGACATTGCGTGGTGCCCCGATGTCACGCTGGAGCTCCCGATCGCGCTCGGCGGCCCTTTCCTACTGCGTGTCGATCCGTTTGTGGCCGCCTAGTCGGATCCAGCGAGTTGGGCGTGGTAGTTGACTCAATGTATTCTCGACCCTTCATTTTTCTTCAGACAGCTTCGCGTGTGGGCTCATAATTCAAAGCAACCAGTGATACCTGTGAGGATTTGTCCGAAGGGACTTGGTCGAGACGAGCAAAAGCGTCCGCGGGCGCGGGGCTCACGATAGCTCTGACGATCTGAGTTGGTACCACCAGCCGTATTGGTTTAGCCAATCAAACACTTGAATTGACTTGGTTTCTAGCCAATGAGAAGCGCGAATCACCCAACTTGAAGACGAGCAGAACCCTCAAGTCATTACCGTACTGTCATTGCCGTACTGTAGCTCGCCGCATGTCCAATGCAGTGCGTTGGTCTGTGGTTCGGCGCCACGGACAAAGGCTCGCTCTATATTTTTGCGGACAAGTCGGACTACTTTTCAGGTGAGCACATGACGGGGGCTCTCCACGTCACGCCCCCCAGCCGCTGCAGTGCACAGTTGTTTGGCGGCACGTTTGCTGCCGTCAGCTGTAACATTGGCCCAAGAGCTTGCCGTCTCCGTTGCAGGCGACGAGGAGGTCTGGTGACGTCGTGCAAGTCGATATGCTCTAGAGTCCAACTCGAAGGAATCCGATTTCAAGGCGATCTCGTCTCTTCAAGAGATTATTGAGGATTATAGCACGCAATTGGATGCTGTCGTGTTTGAATTTCTCATTGCATCGCTGTTTTTGATGGAGAGTTGCGCAGAGGCTCTATCGCATGCGTGCGACGCAGCACTTCAGCACTCTGGAATTGTGGCTTTAGTGAGTGGATTCAAAGTCCAGACTGGATTTGATGCGCAACCGGATGCTTTTTTGACGTGGACGTCGTGCGCCATGTCCACGTCGCATCGAATCGAGGACTTTCTATAGCAAAGACAATACTGGATTCATGAACAAGATATGGATGCTGGTGGGCACCGCTATGTACGTACGCTGTCTGAACCAACGCCATTTCTTCATTTCCTCCAAACGCAACAGTCCTAGCCTACGATGGGTGACATCGGACAGTTTTTCGGCTCGACGAGCAAAGGGTCGCTCACGCTTGCCGTCGAGAACCCATACTACATGGCAGGCGACGTCATTGTCGGCGCCCTTTGCGTGGTGCTTGCAGAGCCGTTGCAGTGCACAGGTACAGTAACCTCATGTTCACAACTGGTCTAGTTGATATTAACAAATGTGCAGAAATTGCCATTCTTATCGTTGGCGAAGAAAACGTCGAGTGGCGAAATCTCCAGCAGGACACGGATCATCGGGCCTACTACAACGAGTACAACAAGTTCTTTCAGCGCCGGGTACGTCGCCCCCCGTATTTCAACGACGATCACTTAGGCAGAACCTCTCGCTAATAACTAGCTTGTTTTGGACAATTCGACGCACGAGCTTTCGCCAGGGCAGTACACATTTCCATTCCAGTACCCGCTGCCGTCCAATCTTCCGGGGTCCTACGACAATGGCAGCCATGGCGCCACGGCAACCATCGCGTACTCGCTGCAAGGCATCGTCTCGACGGCCGGTGCCTTTGCGCGGGATCTCAAACATACGTACGCGGTCCGCGTCTACCGTCCGTTTGTCGGACCCATTGGTCCCGCGATGGCTGAGACGACCAAGACCGTGCGCACGCTGGGGCTCTTCCGCAAGGGCACCTGCCATGTCCGCGTCGTCGTCCACAACAATGCGTCGTTTCTTGGCGACTCGGTCATGGTACGTGCATATATACTTCTGCATGCATGGTTGTCGCCAACTCCGTCACATAGATCGAAACGAGTGTGACCAACACATCGGCGTCAACGCCCATCAAGTACGTGTCTTGCAAGCTCGTGCGCTCGGTGACACTTCGCGCATGCGGTCGGGAGCACGTGGATTGCGAAGTCTTCTCCAACACAAAGATGTCGGGCGTTAACGCCAGCGACCAAGCGTCGTTCGTGCAGACGATCCGACTCGCGAGTAGTTCGTTGTGGCCGACAACGGAAGGCGACCACCTCTCGTGCCGGTACTTTATTGAACTCAAGTGCTCCCTTCCGTGGTGCCCCGATGCCCATCTGAGGATCCCACTGACCCTCGTCGCCGGCCCGCTCACCCGTTAGCGCAAACACGTTGTCAGGCCGCGTGGCCAAGTCACAAAAACGGACGACTCGCATTGTTTTGTTGTTAATGTGATGACGTGGCACTATTATTGTACTGCACGGTACACTGTACATATATTACGATATGAGGCGAATCCCTCGATGAGAGCAGTGCCAGGAACGGAACATCGAACGATCGCCGGCACCCGAATCGTGACAGGTTGCAACGTCCTCAAAGAACATTTTGCTTTTCGAACAGAAAACAGACATTTTAGAATTGAGTTCATGGGCTTTCTTGGACAGCACTTTGGCCTCCAAGGCAAAGGCACGCTCCGCGTAAGCGTCGACAAGCCGCATTACATTTCGGGCGAACTCATCACGGGCTCTCTCCAAGTCGACGTGCTCGAGCCCATCGACTGCAACGGTACTGAGCGCAGGCTCGCATCGCGCTTACTTGCTCCTGTAGAGATTATCGTCATTGTCAAAGGCAAGGAAAAGGTGTCGTGGACCGAGCACGAGAGCAGGACTGACGACCACGGCCATGAAAAGGCTGTCGAACTGAAATTGAGCGAACGCCACAAAATTTTCAATCAAAAGGTGCGTCATGGAGTAGAAAAACTGGAAATCTGATGTGCCACTTGTAGCTCGTGTTGTTCAACGTCGAACACCACATTTCGCCAGGCCAGTATGTCTACCCGTTCCAGTACCAACTGCCCAAGGGTCTGCCGGGATGCTACGACAACGAGGGGGAGAGCGCCATCAAGGCCAAGATCGAGTACTCCATCAAGGGTGCGCTGGACATCGATGGCACCTTCACACGGGACCTCAAGGCCCGCAAAAAACTGACTGTATACGCCCAGCTCGCTGGCGCTGTCGCACCGAGTGTGGCCGAGCGCGCGGAGATGGTGCGCTTCTGCTGTTGCCTTCGCCAAGGCTCGTGCTCGCTTCGGGTGGCGATGGACAAGAACATGTACGGCCCTGGTGAGATCCCCATGGTACTCAGTCGACTGACGCACGATACAACCAAGACTGACGTCACGGACCCTCTTAGATCCAACGCGACATTCTAAACCAGTCGTCACAGAACGTGACGAGCATGCGCTGTGAGCTGGTTCGAACGGTGGCAGTCCGCGCCGACGGTCAATCGCGCACGTTGACCAAGGTCATTTGCGGTGCGATATTCCCTGGTGTCCCTGCGGGGCAGCAGCTCTCGGAACTGCAGCCGTTCCGGCTCCCAGACCACGGCTTGTACCCGAGCACGCGCAGCCAACTCATTTCATGCAGCTACTGCATCGAGGTGACGTGTGATATTCCATGGTGCCCCGACGTCGACCTGTTTTTGCCCATTGCCCTTGGCGCCCCAATGCTGGTCCCGGTTCTGTCGGATCCAGCCTAAGCCTTGCTAAGCGTCGATAGATTTGTGCTGGCAAATGCGGATGATACGAGACGATTGGGGACCATGGGTTTGGCAATCCTGCCGCGATTGCACTGATTTGACAGTCCTGCTGACATTTAACGTCAGTGCTCACTACTAGTATAATACATTACACGCCATTTATCAAACGACAGGCCTACTCGACCGCAATGTCGACGGTCGGGCGCAGCTGCAAGCACTTGTCCAATACCTTGTGGATGTTGTGCGCGTGGAAGGCCTCCAAGCGTGCGTCGCGACCGGCGAGCGCCTTGGTGTCGACGTGGACAAACGCCTGTTCGGTCAAAATGTAGTCGAA